CAACCACCCTGGGAGGGCCTATGAGCCATAACAACCAGTTGACCAATCAACACAGGGCAAGCCCTCCAAGCCTGGAAGCACACCAATCCTGAGCCTGTGAGTACCCCTAGACACTCCCCTTACGCTGCCCTATAAGATCTTTTGGGAGCCCCTAGGAGCCGTCTTTTCTAGCCACCTGCCATGGTGGGTGGGTGAAAGACCCGAGCTAACATGGGATTAGCTGGTTAAATTACAATAAAGCCTCGTGCAGTTTGCAGCAAGCTCTCGAATCCGCCTGGTGATTGGGGTGACCGCGAACATGGCCTGGGACCCCGGATACTTGAGTTTTTGGGGGTCTAAAAAAACCATTGTGCTGTTTCTTTTCTGCGCACCTGGTCCTGTCACTCAGGCTTCACTAGCCAATTAGAGCCTCTAGAGGACCCGCCAGTCAGATGGGCGGGTTCTTCCAGGAGCCAGGCTTCCTGCTCAGCTCTTCACCTCAGGGAGTCAGAAGTTGTGTCCTGTGCTGTGCCTTTGTTTCTGGGGAGAGCGCTGGTTAGCTCAGCAGCCGCACCATGGTGAGTGAGGCGCTGCTCTTCACAGACTGAGAGGAGTGGTGGGCCAGGGTGAGTGAGGGGCTGCTTCCCCCATGTGAGGACAGTGTCTGTCTATGATGAGTGAAGGGCTGCTGTCTCCATGTGGGGAGGAGTGGCTGGTCTTGGTGAGTCATGGGCACTGTCCCCAGGCTAGGTGGAGAGTCTGCTGAGGCTCAGAAAGCCAGTGTAGTTGGTTTTCTCTTCGCTGGGTGGGAGCCAGTGGCCAGACACAGAGTTCAATATTCCTGCCCGGCCCTACCTGGTCCAGCGTGATCCTGTGTGATCCATGCAACTCCATGGGCCAGAGCTGGCAGCCTCTGGATAACTTTACTCCCCCGGATGTGTCTGGGCAGAGGATTAGGAGCAAAAATGTGTTCAGAAATATCCTTGTGATTGTTGTGCCCAAGTCATAAGGATCCCCAATGAGACCAGGGAGACAGACCACCGATGCAAATGCACAAGGTTTATTAATTGTTTTATCCTACTTAGGGAGGGACCCAATCTAGCAAGCTGACACAGCAACCTCCAGAGGGGGTAAAGTTCCCTGTCTACTGCTGTGTTTAAAGACAAAAGCTACAGGATTACATCAGTAGGTACAGGTTTGTTTCTGATTGGTTGACATTTGGGAACAATCAGGAAAATTTTTCAAAGTCATATTTTGACATGAAATACCTGTGTACCAATTATTCTCATTGGTCAGTACTGAGGGAACATTCTGTGGTTTCTCAGGCTTTGTCTTGTTACTTGCAGGTGGTCTGTTGTACATAGATACCTATAGTTTTCAGATCTGTATCCTGGAGACTATAGGGGAGGTTTTGGTTTCCCCCAGAGTTTCTTTTGTGGCCAAACAGTTCCCAGGAACCATACCTAGGAGGCTAGGGGTGTCTGGAGTTTCTTTGTGTTCAGTTTTGGCCCTAGGCTCCAGGAGACCAGAGGATCTGGAGTTTCCTTGTGTCAGAGGCCTACGGGTCTTTTCTGTAGCCTGTCATGGCTGCTAAAGCAGTGGCTGAGTCAGGGTCTGGCCCCTTCATTCTTAGAAGTGAAGCCTTTGTGTTTAGTTTACCCCTTTCATTTATTGACATCTACGTAGTGCTTATATTGTCACATATTTGCTGTGTGAAGTGTTTTCTCCCTGGGAAGGCATATTAATTCTAGGACAGCTGCATTTCCATCTTGTTAGAAAAGATGTTTTGAGACAAGCTCTCTTATGTTGACTTAGGTAGCTTTGATTCTAGTCTGTTGCTCTCCAGGGCAATGACCTTGTTGTTCTCTATAATACACCTTCAAAATTCCTGAATTAAATGATTGCACCATCTCAGAAATTTAAAATTGTCCATTTGAGTCATGCAGTCAGCTACCCAAAGCAGTCAGAGGAAAGGGATTTGCATGTGGAACATTGCTTCTGTCTTCAGACCAGAATAGGAGCAATAGTTTATTGTGTACACTGCAGGGAAACAGGGCAGGTAATCAGCTCCTCGAGTCACCATCATGAAAATGGACCTGATTGTGGTATCAGTGATGTTTTTGTAATTTCCCAGCATGTTTTAA